TGATTTTTCTCAGTCGATGTCACTGACTTTTTTTAGCCCATGTGACTGACTTGTTCAGCCCATGTCACTGATTTTCTCAGCCCATGTCACTGACTTGTTCAGCCCATGTCACTGATTTTCTCAGCCCATGTCACTGACTTGTTCAGCCCATGTCACTGATTTTCTCAGCCCATGTCACTGACTTGTTCAGCCCATGTCACTGGCTTGTTCAGCCCATGTCACTGACCTTTTCAGCCCATGTCACTGATTTTCTCAGCCCATGTCACTGACTTTTTCAGCCCATGTCACTGACTTGTTCACCCCATGTCACTGACTTGTTCAGCCCATGTCACTGACCTTTTCAGCCCATGTCACTGATTTTCTCAGCCCATGTCACTGGCTTTTTCAGCCCATGTCACTGACTTTTTCAGCCCATGTCACTGATTTTCTCAGCCCATGTCACTGGCTTTTTCAGCCCATGTCACTGGCTTTTTCAGCCCATGTCACTGACTTTTTCAGCCCATGTCACTGGCTTTTTCAGCCCATGTCACTGACTTTATCAGCCCATGTCACTGAATTGTTCAGCCCATGTCACTGGCCTTTTCAGCCCATGTCACTGGCTTTTCAGCCCATGTCACTGACTTTTTCACCCAATGTCACTGACTTTTTCAGCCCATCTCAATGACTTTTTCAGCCCATCTCAATGACTTTCTCAGCCCATGTCACTGGCTTTTCAGCCCATGTCACTGACTTTCTCAGCCAATGTCACTGATTTTTTCAGCCGAACGTAATCTTAAGATATTAAAAAATATTTTTGCTATAGAAACTAATACAACAAGATTGAAGATAAAATACAATTTTCAATTTTGTTGTTTGTTATGACTCCTGTTCCTTGAATACTTGTCTGGTGACCCCAATTTAGTTCTGTATCGTAATGGCGTAAGCCCATAATAATGAAATATGAAGAAAATGACATAATCTTTAATTCAGTCCGTAACCTTTTGACTGCCATCATTTTTTTGATAAATTGTTTGCCACATTTGGCAAATTTAATACAATTGTTGTACCTTTTTGTTGTTGATAGTGGACCATGTAGACATATAGTTTTCAGCTATCAAAATCAAAATTGTTTAAATGATATTTTGTGGGTTTATTTTGTGAGACCTGGCAAGCTGGTTTGTTCAATAAACCTTGTCGTTTGTTGGTTGTGGATGTACTTGATTCCAGATGCGTGTTTTCTGTTTGGTCTGAGGCTTAGGGTTATTGGGGGGGGGGGGGGGTCGGGTGGCAGGCAGTGGTCTTTTTATGTATATGCATGCTAAATAATTTAATATTGTTGGATTTTTTCAGCAGTTTACAGATTATGACATTTTCCAAGATGTTGATGTACTTGAAATGTACTTGTGAAAGTTGTGGTTTATTAAATGGATATATAAAGGACAATTTTTTGTGATGATAACACAAATCGCTATGAATCTGGTGAAAAAAATGGCAGAGATGCACCTTCTGTTTAAATATTCACTACATGTTTCAATTTTTGTAATTTAATGGCATTCAAGAAGACGACATTTCATGAAAGTCACTGACTAGTTGTCTTGAAGGACTCAAATGAAATAGTGAAAAGATTTCATGTTTTTTTTTTGTCTTGAGAAATTTCTGACTTTTGCCTTGAGATATGCTTTATTTTAAATACTTGAACAAAAATGCACAGAAAGCTGCAAATGATACTGTAAAATACTTTATTTTCACTTGGAATTAAATTTCACTATTTTCGCTGAAGGAATAATTCAGTGAAAATAAAATCCAGCGAATGTACCTTTTTCCTATATTTTACATTCAACTCGTCAAAAATCAGTGAAAATAAATTTCATACAAAACACACCAAATGTCTTTTCAGTGAAAATTAATTCCAGCTAAAATAAAGTATTTCACAGTACTTTGAATTCTTGATGGAATTTTCAAACTAATGGCCGTGCATCAGAATTTTATGCATTTCACTTGTGTTTCTTGAAAACCTTGATCTTGGCCGTTGTGCTTTGATGTGAAACATGCATAGCTATATATGTTCCCAAGCCACAGTTGAAATAAATCTGTAACAGAAATGTGACGACTGTTAACAATTCATTTGACCTTTTGTATTGAAAAGTAATGAAGCTAGAAATTAGTTTAGTTAGTGACGTTTGATTCTGCATTTTGGTTGTCTGCGTATGTGACTTGTTAAAAAAAAAGCAATATACATGGGCAGTTTTCCAACACGTTTACAAGTAATATGTGAACGCTGAATGCTGTTAGCATTAAAATGCTTACCTAGATCTTGAGCTATTGCCATTTCTCTACAACATGGCGATACTCCCATGATCCATCATTCCTATTGCAAAAGACAACAAAATGTTTACATTAGTCAGACATTCGTTTGTCAATGGCTTCCAGACCTGAGCAAACTTCTTTGCAGCGCTGATGTTTAATTGTCAAAATAGCTCATATTTATCTGTCCTCCAGCATCTAATTGAGAAAAACATTGCAACTATGAATCTTTTTGAGTAACAGAGTAAAACATACTCTAAATATTGAAACCCGTAGGCATGTAGTACCCTGCTGTTTGGCGACAAATACAGAATTCCCACTTCTCAGAAAGTGCAATTTTCTGTTTTAGTCTCCTTTCTGTCATGTTTCGCACTGCGTAGTCAACTTCTATTTAAACATGCCATCAAAACTAAAAATGTGACATGTACGCAGCTTTTGCTGAATCACACTTCAAGCACAGAAATGTTCTGAACCATAAAATGTATTTTCTTTTCTGTTTTTTTTTTTTCTGGGATATGTAAGCAGTTCATCTCTGTCCTCTAATCAAATATCAGATTTTACAGAAAGAAAACCTATTCTTTTAATGTGCCACATCACCTCGTTTCATTTACATAAACTTTGATTATGTGTTTGGGGCTTTAACCAAAATAAAATGGGGTGTAGTAAAACCTTTTACCAAAAAAACAACTTTATAAAATACTGTTTGTGAATCAGGCATTATCTTTAGAGACACTGAAATATTTTTTGAAATTGAGTATTCTTGAACATTTCTGTCGGTTTGAATTTTACAAATAAAAATGTCACAAGTTAAATGTCCTCAGTTATAAATGTGCACATCACAGATTTTTTAAGTTTTATTTTTAAAAAAAACAATTTTCAGGAAAACTATAAAATAAAAGAACAGTTTTTAGCGATTACATTAATTTTGAAAAACTATTACTATAAAATATCTTATTTTTGCTGAAAGAATGATTCAGAGAAAATAAAATCCAGCGAATATACATTTACCTATTTTCTATAATATTTAACATGCAACTTACAAAAAATATGTGAAAATAAATTCCATACAAATTCTTTTAGTGTAAATTGATTTTAGCTATATAAAGTATTTTACAGTAGACCGGAAATATACCCTTACATGTTAAAATGAAAATTTTGTGAAAAATTGCGTATTACGCTCTTGAAATATGGATATATGTGCTTCATTTTTCAGTCAAATAGATGGACCACAATTTGAAAAGTAATCCTGACTCATTAATGTAGGCAGAATCGTACAATTGGTGTCGCATTACTGGGTGTATGGTACACATACTCACAAGCTTTCATATCAAGTTTATTACGATGGTATCGATTATCGGCGGTTGCATGAGCATTGTGATTATTCTCTGTTAGATCATTATAATGCCATAGAATTCAACTGCATACATTGTTGAACGGCAGTCATTCGATCACGTCATGTTTGCGAAAATTGTTGCTGTTAATTATTTTGAACAATTGTTGGTGAGTCTCCTTCCTACCAGTAACAAAATAGTCCCATTAAATGTTTTAATTTAAAAACTGTAGTCATGGCAGTCAGTTTTATTGACTGTACTCTCACACCATTTTGGAAATGGTTTTAGCAATTTTATGACAATAATAGATAATAAATTTAGCTTAAACATTTTGTTTTAAATTAAATTCAAATTGATTTAAGATGTTTAAAAGTAATTTTGTAGTAGAAAGAATTTAAAAATCTTTAAATATGACTTTTTCACTGCATTAGCATTTTATCCGTATCTACAAGCTTAGTGAACAGATGAAAAGTTGCAGCATCTCTTAGCCGTTTCACCACCAGTTCCCGCTTTTCATCACAAAATAATCCTGTTTATAGTCTGCACTTTCTTTCAGAAGATTGAAACAACAATTTTTAATAATAATAACTGAAAATTGACTTAAATTTTGTCTGTTGGCTCCAAAATTAGGTTTCACTTCCGGAAATACTAAAGAATATACGAAAAAAAAGTGCAGAAAAAATTGGAGGGAAAGTCTGGTGGTGAAAAGGTTAATAATGATTAAATTAAAAAAATAAATAATGAGAATCTTTACCTTAAACCAGATTTACCTTGCCACACATTTTTCTGAATTAAGTGTTTAATTTTGGACTGATCTGACATTGCTTACAAATGTTGATCAAAAGTTTTAAATATCTTTTTATTAATTTTCTCAAATTCCAATGTTAATTTTAGCCTGAAACAACAATTTCGTTATTAAAGTTTTTTGATGACCAAAAAATAGTAGTGAACAGAACTGTTTTATGACTTGATAACTGTGATGTACAGTTAGTTTTCTTCTATTATATAAGGACATCATTTCAGTATTCTTCACTATTCTTGTCTTCACACTTTTTTTAAAGATTATCTTCTAATGTTCTTGATCTTGTTATGCTTTAATAGTTTTGCAGCATTTGTATAATGAGAGGGGTGAAAACAAAATGGCCACTACAACCTTGAACTTTGACCCAATGCTTTCAGAAACTCAATAAATAATTTTATGTATATACCAAATTTATGCTGAAATTAGCATACTTTGCTCTATTTGAAGCTGTGTAGTTTAATTAATATCATATTATTGGCATTGGTAACAACCACTACTTCTCCAATGGCCAAGACTGTGGAGTTCAACTTGAATAAATAAATAAAAAAATGTTGTTAATTCTTTTTGGTTTTGTTCCCATGTAGAAGAGGTTCATTGATATTGCTGCTAACTTTCTGAGGCCAGCTGACTACCTGGACCATCTCGAAGATCAGGTTCAGGTCAGCTTCTATATTTATTTTTAATTTCTTAAGAATCAAAATTATGTAAATTATTGTTCTCAAAGTTATCACCTTTCAACTTCATGTACGTGTATTAAACGCACAGAATAGCTTGCTCTCATATATTGTAAAGAAAACGTTATCCCATATATTAATCGCAAGGCAGCCATTGCTCCCATATAATATTCATATACAAAACTCATAATCCCATAAATTTACTCGTACAGAAACCATTTCTCCCATGTAATTCTTGTACAGAAACTTTAATCCCATATATTACTTATAGATAAGACATAACTGCTCCGACATACTGTAAAGAAAGAGTGCATCAGTGAAAAATGAAATCCAGTGAAAATACTTTTTCCTCTGCATTTTACACTCATCAAAAATCAGTAAAAATATACTTCATACCAAACAGCCCAAATGTCTTTTCAGATGAAATCCAGTTAAAATAAAACATTTCTAGGTATTACTGTAACTGTTGCTCCCATATATTACACTTACAGAAACTTACAGCTGCCATGGGTTATGCTTGTAGCAACCTTTTTTTTTCTATCAATCTTTCTATGAACATTTCAAATGTTATCTTTAATTTCTCATTCCGAGCACATCTCCCACCTGCTCAGAAATTTGTTTTTCCACAAAACTCATTTCATCACGATTGCAATTGTTGTCCCAACATCCCATTTAGTAATGATCATCTTTCCAAGTTAATATTCAGCTTTACTCGAATAGAGTAACAGATCCCCATTGGTTGAATATTGCAGTTTTTTTCCCAGGGAGCATACAAGCCAATTAGCATTTCACTAGTTCCTGCATGATTTGTGGTGTTTGCTGATTGGCTGAACTATTGAAGTTTATTTTTTTAGGAAGCACATAAGATGGCTTTAAATTATCTCTAGCAGTTAAAAGTTGACAAGTACAATGTGCTCCATCATCATTATTATGCAAGACAGCAACAGTGAGTGATATGTGGCTAATGCCTTATTGGGGTGGTCATAAAAAACCTTCACAAATAACTAACACACTGTTCTGGGTTTTAATTTGCTATGGGGCGGCTGGGGTATCTTGAATTTTCTCAAGATGTTCATAAAAAGAAGTGTTGACATTAAACAAACCAGTCTAACAGCTAGTCGGAGGCGAGTCAGAACCGGCTCCTTTTGGACAGGAAATTGGTACTCTTCCATGTATGTCCTCTTTTGTGTGTAGGAACAGAGGTTCCATAGCAACTACAACATCAAGACTAAATACAGTAATGTTTTTCAACTGAACACTGATGACATTATGTTGTTTTCATCAACATTGGCATTATTGTTTTTCTTCATAAATTTTTTACTCAAATGTATGAACAGACCAAAATGAGTGCAAGATTATGAAACCACCTTGCCCATAATTGTCTCTCAAATTAATGAGTGGAAATAGGCAATCAAGCGAAGTTCCTTCCGTCCTGTATACATAAATATCAGAGGTTCTTCCATACAGGGGAACAGGAGCGCTGCGCCCTCTTACCAAACCTGGAACAGTCAGTAGACTATGATCAGTTATAACAAATATAGTCTTACCAATGATAACAAGGTGTGCTCTCTCTTGAACATTTTTTTCTAGAAAAACCCCTGCCTTATGATCCCATGATTTCAAAACAAAAAACATTTTCTTTTCCGAAACAGACCCAAATTTTTTAACTAAATGTTACATGAGAGTGTTTACTGTGCCATCTCATCTGTTCAATAATTACTGCATTAATTACTTCATTAATTACTGCTGTGTTTCGATATTGAAACTTAATTTGAAAAAGAATGTTGTATCTTTAAAAAAAGAAGAAGAAATTAGTTGATATATATTTTAGGCATAAAATAACTAAGCAGAAATAATTTGTAGAAGCAAAAAAATAATGTCTCCACTGTCTGTGTAATGTGAAAAGAAATCTGATAACGCAATATGTGGAGGTCTCTGCTGAAAATCTGATAACGCAATATGTGGAGGTCTCTGCTGAAAATCAATTCAGGAAAAGGTGCCAAAAGTGTCAGATTGTGTAGATTTTAAGTCCTTTCTGTGCACGACACGCTACAAGAAGGCGGTGAAAATTACACTATTGACATTGTTGTCCGGTACCAGTCTCATTTGAAAGGGGTACAAATACTTGTCTGAAAAAGGTTTTTGTTTTGTCTTTCGGGTAGACTGTTAGTTAAGTAGATGACTTCTTTGTTGTTGGGTACATAGATCATGATTGGCTCATGTCAGTGAAAAGTGTCATGTCAAAGGTCAAGGAGGGAAATGTAAACATGGTTCAGAGTATCGAGTTGTGTCTACCTTTCAACGTTTCAAGCGTCTGTCTAAAAAAGGAAGTCAACATTGCTGTGATTACATCCTGAAATTCTAATTAAAAGAAACATTGTGTCACGGAACTGTTGCTATTTCTGATTTAGATGAAGCGTTTATATACATTATCATACTCCCATGATGCATTTGACTGCTATCAATAGGTTTAGATTGCTACTTAGAAAGACTGAATGTTTACATAACTGTGCAATATTATTTTGTTTGGCAACAAGACCTACAGGAGGTGTAAGATGCACCATGGGAGTGCTGCCATGTTTTAAGGTGTCTTCATTAAAGTACTGATCGATTTAGATCTATCAATTTATTAGTTCTTTTATTGACCAGTATAGTAGTGAATACGTACACCGTTCATTGGTGCTGCTATTGACTTGTACTGAATCAGTATGGTGAACATGTGCTGCTATTGACCTGAGCTGAACCAGTATGGCAAACACGTACTGTGTTTGTTGGTGCTGCTATTGACCTGTACT